ACGTATGTGTGTTGTAGTTAATTTAACATGTTTTAACAACACAGGAAGTTGAAGAATAAACACGTCGATGAAGGCTGTGTCTTGAGCAAAATTCAACGCCATCCGGGTCCAACACTATTAGCAACGAACGTACACTATCCTGTTTCACGATTAAACCGCATTGGATACATTTTTTATGCATCCAACGATAACCATGTCTTTGTCCAGATCGTGGAAGTTGTCCGCAATAAAGTCTGTAAGATCAGCGGGCCGCTGGGGTAGCCTAGTGGTTAAAGCGTCCGCTCGTCACGTCGAGACCTGGGTTCGATTCCCCATGGGTCCAATGTTAACTTGTGCGCTCAAGATACTAACTTGTGCGCTCAAAACATTAACTTGTGCACTCAACATACTAACTCGTGCGCTCAAGATAAATTTTATTTCATCAGGTCCCTTCAGCGCTTCCGTACATTTTCATGAGGTAACGTGGATTACACTTTTATGGAGACATCATATTAAACATATATTCTTAAAAATTTAAATCATATGAAGATATGTTCTGGGTATGAACGAAAGGGACCATACCTTTTGTCGAAAATGTAATTTGTTTTGCTCACACTAGATGAATTTACTTTGAAATATTCACTCAAAATGTTATACTATCAGTGGAGACATGCACGTTTTGGTGATTTCGGCTTTGGCTTTGTACCCTGAGTCACACACATGAACAACAGATTATTAACAATTTCTATATCCCGTATACCTACCAAGCCTGTCGCTTAATATAAACATGAAATAAACAGGTGAATTCAGTAAAAAAAATGTTTGTTAATGCGGAGACACGTAAAATTACAAATGGTGCACATTTCGTGTGAATAGGTGAGTAGTAGTAGTAGTAGTAGTAGTAGTAGTAGTAGTAGTAGTAGTAGTAGTAGTAGTAGCTGTCTCATGATGAATGTGTAATGTTTTCTTATGTTTCCAAATGATACGTTTGTTAAGATGCGAGCCTTACGTGCGTTTTGAAAAGGTGTTTCTTTATATTAATGATACCACCTGCTGCACTGGAGTTATGACATACTAGTAACAAAAAGGAGCATTAACTGTTTCAATACACCATTCCCATTATTCATTTTCCAAGACAGAACAGCTATGGTAAACATGATGAAAATAAAGTTCCCTGAAATGCCACCTTTGCTTACAAAAATTACGATCGAAATTTTAACAAACATTTGGATATTGATTTTTCCCTTAAATTTAAATTTAAGTAAAGAAGGAAAGGCTGTTTTTGTTATGTTGTGGGCAAAAAATGTACCCTTATTCCACGTTATTCATCTTTACACGACTCAGCAGACGTAGATGCACTTTCGTGTTCAAGTGAAAGTAGTGCGTAAGGAGGATAAAACAGCCAAAACTGAAAAAGTTAAAAGGATCAAAGAAAAGTCAAAAGGGCGAAACACGTGTGACGTGGTCACATAAGCTCCGCCTACTCATAAATATTCATGACTATTCTTCACATATTTCACATCATCGAATTTTCATAATTGTTTGTAACTCTTGACGACTCGTCTGAACATCATTGTCAGGCTATTCCGAGCAGACATGTCGGGCTATTCCGGACAAACGGTGTGCCACACAAATTAAGTTGTGACCAAAGAGTCTTTGCTTCGACGCAGTATCGTTTCCTCTTTCCTCATTGCTGTTACAGAAATTTGCAAATTATGAAATATTAAAGGTCACATGCAACCAAAAAAATCAAACATAATTAAAACACAATTATCACTTCTTCATGACATATAATATGCATTGCTGATTATGAAAAAACAAATAAACAAAATTATAACCGTATAATCGTAAATCAAAAGTGCAATATTTTGTACTTGGGTTTACCTCCCTCGAAACGAAGCAGCCGGGATACCAAACCCAGTCAGAGCGGGTGGGTGTGCACTCAAATGTAACGGCTGGTTCATTAGCAGATGCCGCCTTCACGGCTCATTGTGTGTGAATATATAGAGATGTTGGGTTTTGTAAATACATGCTCATTTTTTGTGTATAACATTTTGCAATCAACAGACATCATAACATGTCATGTGTTCAAGTATCACACCTGCCTGTCTGTGTAATTACATAATGTGACAGAGACCGAACTCAGGCCATAAATCAATGCGTTTTGTTTATGGTGTATAGCCTGATTGGTGTTAAGTTCAAATTGCATGTGGTCAGTGATCGCAGTTGTGTATTGAATATTGTCATTAGCAGACAGGCAGGCAGACACACAGGTGTCAATAAAACAAGACATTGAGTTTTGTCTGTGACAGCGACATATCTATATCACAGTTAGAAATTGTGTCAACGCTAAATAATGACATTGCTTTTAAGTATCGAACTGAGAAGTGACTCGGTAAGAAGAACGTGTGGTGAAATAGACAAATGAAATTATCTAAACAGTTTATTTACTGTCATAACATATAAAAAGCTCGCGCCTGTGAGATATCAACAAAACATTATGAAAATAGCTCACACCAAAGCCTTCACCGAGTATTCACCAGACAGCCCGCTTCCAAGTTGCGCGAACCTATTTCACTGCGCACATGCTATGAGCGAAGCCCAGCTGTTGAAACCCGTATTCCCCAGAAAAGTCTGGGGAAAATTAGTTAAACGTTTGAACTCCGATTTCGCGCGTTTTTTTTCATCGCGTTATTTTTCAACTTTATAAGTTGAATTTGCATTTTTGACGCTTTGTTTCGGTAAGTCCATACCGAAAGGTATCAGAATCTGCAAAGTTGTGTTTTACGTTGCATGTGACCTTTAAGGAACAGGAACAAGGAAGAGGAAATAGTCCCTGCATCGATAGCATTTGTAAAGAACGGAACGACGTCAATACAGTGAATTTCTAACAAGGACGTAATTGACTCAAAGTACCTGCCCAAATTCGAAACAAGAAAATCCTTTAAAAAGGCAACGTTGGAGGCACCTGAGTAAATTTTAAAAATTAGTAAGAAGGACTTGAAATGATTTGGGGGGTGAAGCTGATTTCAAGAGCATCACAATGACCATACATCCGTCTATTACAGACTTGCTTCTATTAGAGATCAGTACTCGCATCTCCAGTATATGACATTTCATATTACAGGTCTTTGTCATGTCTAACCATGTCTGGAAATGAAGTACTAGTATTACCATTGAAATTACATGAAATAATTGTTCTTAAACTAACGCAATAAATTCTTCTAAAATGGCTTATGCGTTTCTTTTTTTGAAGAGTGCACTTGATCGATCTCATAACTGATTTGTATGTATGTTCTTTTTTAGGCTTGAACTTACTTATTTCAACATGTACGGTAGTAATAATAACCGAACTGCTGTTGTTTAAAAATATCATATTCACGGTCTTATAGGACCAAGCAAACACGACTATTCAAAACTAACAAACATTTGGCCTTTTGTGGCACGTTTAGTATCGGATAACATAGAGTGCAATCGTTGATTCGCAGAACTGCTGCCCTGCCCCTACTGAGACTACATTGACGGAAATTATTCTACTTCAAATCAGTTCAGGAGGAAGACTGCCACCCAAATCTTAATAACAAATACTTAAACAGACTGTAACTAATCCCTCTACTGTCTGCCTGTTTGCAATGGTTGACTGCACTAGTAACCTAAACAAAGGCTGCAGGCACAGTGAGGTGTCCCTCTAACATAAACTTCCGTAACTGAAATTTGAGTAATTGATTTTTAAAAAATCTTCACTTTTCTTCTTGTTTTGATTTATATGTTGTATGTTAAACGGCAGTTTTGCTGGAAGGTTCCCTGGAAGCTCTGAAGTTACACGCTCAATCAAAACCTGTCACGATCAGCAAGTTTAGAAAATATACGGAAATGGAATTTAATTCGATAATAGCCTCTCGTTCGGTAATACGCAAAACGCCTTGAATGATGATTTAGTAATATGTCAAAACTAGCGAGATTTATGATGCATGTAATTTTTAGTAAATTTGCCTTCCCTACAATGTGTGGATGATTTCATAGAAAAGCGAATTTCAAACAGAATTCAAAACTGCGAAGTGCATTTATCTTCATGATGTACTTGGATATGGTTTCGACATCAAAGTGAGGGTTGTTGAGAAGGGATCAGCAAACTTATGTAATGCATATATCTACATTTCACAGTCATTCCCAACGAAACTGAACAATTCAAATTGGAAAGTGCTAAAATTTAAATCGCGACATTCCATGAAAGAAGTCTATTTTCCCGAACTACAACATGAGAATGAACATTTTATACTTTTTCAGCACTCAGTGAACAGTATTAAACATGCAGCACTGGTTTGAAGTAAGGTACCCATAAACACCCAAGTTATTTACGTTCATGGATAACTAGTAGTATCAACATAAACCGTGATGAAATGAACTCTTTTGTTCTTGATTCATATATCAAGTAAGGAAACAATTAATTCATCTGAAAAACAAAACGAAAGTGTACTCAGTCAAGCATATTTCACACTGTTGACGCCACATGGTACCTGTTCAAAATCCAGAATAGACGGAACCACGCATACCACATTTACATTGTATCAAAGATTAAAATCAGAAACTTGAAAATAAAACGTTCCCTTTCAAGAAAACGCCATGGAATCACACAAAATAGGAATGAATATATTTTGACTTTAACTGTTAAACACCTTTACCATCTTACAGTTCTACTACGTGACGTACATTACGTTGTAACTTACGTTCTTGTTAAATACAAAGACTGATTTTTTATTAAACGCCAAAGATGACAAAAACAGTAAAAATCCTATTAGAAGTGAAACGTATTCTGGAACATGGCCTAGACAGTCGTGCAACATTTAGATATCTACCAGCAGCAATCACACAATGAGACATTGGGATAAAACATTTGTTTACTTTTGGATCTATCCTTATTTAGAGTAAGTTAAAGAACCATCTGGAAAGTTTGACAAAACGTACACTTCAACTTCATCAACATATTAAATTGTTTTATTATCTTAATTATTGATTCCGTTAGAAATATTCGTATGAAGTTTACGTAACACATTTAGTCATTTACGTTAGGGTGAAAAAGAGGCATGATCGACAATGGAATCCAAAGAATGAGCATTGCTCTGCTCGCATGCAGGCATTCAAACGGATACTAACACGTGATTTTTTGGTGTCTTTAGGGTTTCCCGTGTAACGCCATGGACCATTCTAACTGACAATTAACGTAAAATGCAAAACGTAAATTACATTTTGTTTGTCTGAAGTGATTTTCTCGGTTCTACGGTTGTGTTTCTGCGTTGATGCTGTATTAAACTATAGAACGAAATGTTGTTTCAAAGTAACGTCACGTATGATTACGTCATTAACAAATCGGTCTTTAAAAACGAACATTACTGGTCTGTGTTCAACTAACCTGTATCTTTCGTAGACATAATATGCTCGCTATCTAAACTATGTCATTTCATGCTTTAAATAACACATTTTTTTATATTGTAATACTTTCTAGTTTTTGGTTTAGCAATTGATTACATTGCAATTGTGTATGTTTTCACAAGCGTATTTGATGGGGGTTTTCATAAACAGTTCCTGATTGCTTTCAAAGCTTATCTACATTCGACTCGTGGTAGCGGTGGTCATCTTAAAGAGGCAGCTTTTATTGACCGGTCCGTCACTAAACGACACCAGAAAAACCGTACCCCCTCCCCATGTATGCCAATCCTTGCTAAGCATTTGTTTAATGACTGGTTAGCTTCCTTGTTTTTCATGTTTCCTATACTTTCCTTGTTATTATCAATGTATTTAAAGATTAAGAGGCCCTTTTGGTTTCACAAATCGCATCCTGCAAATTCGTCGACTGCAGTTGTGCAGTTTCGTTGTAGAATGACTGTTCAGTTTTGCTGAAAGTAGATACTGTTGGAAGGCGACTCAGGTTCAGTGTTATACAGTTTAGTTACGTGGTAACACTTTTCGTACAATGTATACTATTTTTTGAGTGAGTGAGTTTGGTTTTACGCCGCTTTTAGCAATATTCCATGAACATATCAGCAAGGGACGAGCCATTACAGTGTAGAACCGACCGATACACAAAGCGAACTGACGGCCAGGCAACAAGACGGTTAAAACGGTAGCCTGGGAAACGAGACACAAGAACCACACCTGCACCACGTGAAATGGTATCTTCCAATAAGACAGACCTCCCAAAAGGCAGGCCGCTTAAAACAACACATGTTATGGTTGGTTGCATAAGGCTTAATTAAGCTGTACCCTTGATAATAATGGTATGTGCCCAGATAAAAAAGACAACATTAGGTATTAACTATAGTGGCACTGGTAGGGAACTGGATTACAGTGAGAGTGGAGTCTTTGTGATTTTTTGCGACAGAAACATTATAATTTATGAGTCTTTGCAATGATATGTGTAATGATAAGATAAATGGTAATTATAGCTTTAGTTTGTGGTATTAAAGACTATAACAAGGTGTAAAGACCTTGGAGTCAACCTTGTGTGCAGATTCTTTCCGTGTTGTCACAAGCCCTACTGAACAGCACATATCCCTGTGCACTTGAAAGAACGCACGAATAAGCTGGTATATGACCAGATGATGGCCACACGAATACGTGCAAAAATATAGTTTAATGTCGTCATTCGTTTATAAGTTGGGCACCAATTGACGTCATTTGCAAGGGACATAAGCTATGGTGTTTTTATTGTGGACATAGAACTCTCGGTAAATGTGCAAAATATGAATCGATATAATGCAAAAAGTAATTAGTTTCTAATGATAGCTGTACTGTTTTAACTATGAGAATGTTAAGCCCATTTCTGGTGTCCCCCCGCCGTAATATTGCTAGAATAATGCTAAAAGCTTCGTAAAGCTAAAGTCAATCAATCGATCATTCAATCAATCAAATTGACTATGAGGCTGCTTGACAAACACTTTTTATGCTGAAAAAGTGCAAGATGAAAAGGTTAATTATCGTGTAAAGTTGCCCTTTAAGACCATTGTAGGTTTAAGGGCACAACATGCGTGTGTGCAATATTCTTCCATTCGACCAACTTCTATCAATGTCTCCGCAGCCTAAAGGCAAACAGGTCACTTACCGATGTTTTCTCTCCTGCGTCTATCTCTTCCATAGAATCAGTTTTAGGAATTATTTCATCTTCACCCGACTGGCCAGACCTGGCAGCATAGAGTTCATTTACAGAATAATGAGTTGGGGTAGCAGAATGCTGTCCATCAGATTTAACAATTGGGTTGGTTTCTTCATCGGATGTAGGATGACTTGGATCAGGGATGTAGCCATGCTTGGGTTCACGGTGGCTAGAACCAGTGATGAAGCCTTCCTTGAATTTATCATGACTAGTACCAGGGCTTTTTTACAGAATCGAGACTTGAGAGCACAACACCAGACTCAATATGTGAAGATTGTAGGTTGATATCCACTGACATGTCAAATTTTAAAATGTGTCGAAAACACAGAAGGTATGACCACACGGTATTGCGTGAAACACTAAATGACGCTAGAGGTGTATAAACCTAAACGATTTTGTCCGCCCCAAAAATAATTCCGTATGAAAAGGAAGTATTGTTATTTTGTGAATTGCATATGAGAGCAATGCCGGTTTCATAATAGTAAATGTCGGACTTTGAGAAGTATTACTCATTGAAGTTTTCACATCTCCGACGTCGTTACTGGGCTGACTGGGACATACTCTACTGCTGACATGCAGCTGTCATAAACCAGGCATACCTTTGGTGACTAGGTGCTTTCGTCACTCATTTTCGGTGATGCATTCAAAACCCATTGGCCATTTGTCACACTGTCGCCATGTCACATTGTAGCGCTTTGAATAATATTTTCTTACTCAATCAAAGGGAGACAATGCGACATAGCGACAGTGGCCAACAGTATGTCTAGCATATAACAGCTGCATGTCAAGGGCAAAATGCATCGCCCCATTTAAGATGTGTAAAATACGCGACAATGCGACATAATGAATATGTCGCATTGTCGCGTTGTCGCCCTTTTTGATTAATGATACGCTTTTGTAGTAAACTGATTAGTCTAATCATGTGTTGAAATAGATATGCCTTTTTCAGACTCCAGTGGTCTGTTGTCATCTCCATGATAATAAAAACGAAGTTGTAATGACAATGTGGGTTGCTTTTATTTAACTTGCTACTTTATACAAATCTTTCATCGTTATTGGGAAATCATTTTATAGTATGTTAATGTCGGTGTCGTATTTAGCCAGCCAAACGTGTTTTCGCAGAAAGACAAATTCTTTGCGTTTCTATTCAGGGTATTGTATGTGCGTCGGTGCGAGACAGACCGAACTCTCTCAGAGGCCAAAACTGTCGAGCATGGTCAACCATCCAAGGTTTGGTTTCTTGTTTTATGGCGCACTCAGCAATACTCCAGCTATATGGCGGCAGTCTGTAAATAATCGAGACTGGACCAGACAATCCAGTGATCAACAGCATCAGCATCGATCTATTCAGGATGATCGTTGTCTTTGAAATGCAGTGTAGTCATATCGTAAGATCACGTGGATCAAGTGAAAACGTGAGGAAATTTTAAACTGAAAAACCTTTATATCCTAATAATTCCCACGAAAAACATATATTTCTTCATGCAAGTACATGACTGTGTACCAGTGTATAGCAAATACATAAACTCAAAATACACTACCATTCATCATCAGAGCCGTAATCATCAACACTCATCATACCATCAGCATCACTATCATTATCATAGATTTATCATCATCATCACCATAGCCATTATCATCACCACCATCACAGCCGTAATCATCATCATCATCATACCACCCGCATCACTATCATCATCATCATCATCATCATCATCATATCCGTTATCAACACTATCATCAGAGCTGTAAAGATCAATATCATCATACCTTTAGCATCACTATCATGATTTATCACCATCATCATCATAGCCATTATCATCACCATCATCATAACTGTTATCGTCATACCTTTAGCAGTGTATGAAATAAGGCCCGCCCCACCGCCCGCGACGGGCTAGATTTGTCTAATTTTATAGCTAGACAACCCGATGGACAGGTGAAAAAAATATTCAGATAGCGTGTCCACTCACACTGTCTATTTAGTATTTAAGAAGGACTGGTTGAATCTCTCCTGGGCTGGTAAGTTTTTGAAGTTACTAGCCCAGATGTCTGGCTGGGTTTTTGGCTTATATCATACACTGCCTTTAACATGACTATAATCTTCATAGATTTATCATCAACATCATCATACCTTATCATAGCAGTTATCCAATAGTAACTTCTCTTGTAACTGGGTACAATGTGTGAAGCCCATTTCTGGTGTCCCACGCCGTAATATTGCTGGAATATTGCTAAAAGCGGCGTTAAACCACACTCACTCACTCAATCTCTTGTAACTGTCTTCATTAAGCATTCAGCAATTTATCCTAGATGTCCAACATAGACATTCAAGCAGACTATTATATACTCTTAAAAAGTAGGGGAACCTGAACTTTCAATTTAGATAGAAAGTAGCGTTAACAAACTTTTCAAAGACAGACATCTTATAAACGCACCACCATTTCGCTTTATCACCCCACTAAACACAACGCTTGTGGTGCAGGAGCACAACACAGTAGCCTAATACACGTACATGGGGTGTCATTCTTAACTTTGACGGTTTTCAAGGTGGTCGATAAATGATTGTAGACCATTAATTTTTACAACCATCTTGCATCACACAGTTGTTAGTGCTTGTTTCTAGCCGTTTTTTTTTTTTTTTTTTCTTTGAAAATGAAAAAAGTGCACATGCAAATTTCACGTCATACACCAATCATCTTTCAAATGCGATTACTGTACAAACAACTACAACTATGGCTAGAAGGAAGTGCAAGTGGTGATGCATTCTCGAAACATTCATTACTATCATATAAGACCACCTCCGTGGTGTAGTGGTTAGAGCGTCTGCCCGGATTGCGGAAGGTCGCGGGTTCGATCCCCGACCGCGTCATACCAAAAGACGTTAAAATATGGTACTTGTTGGTCCCTGCCTGGCGCTCGGCATTAATGGGGACAACAAGGTCTGGTCGGCTCGGAGTCAGTATAATGTGTCTGAGTGGGGTATTCATGCTCCACTTCACTCAGTGGGCTAGCAGTATAAAACCAGCTTCAGTCTGGGCTAGTACAAGCAGATGCACATACACATACACACACATGCACGTCGTCATATGAGCGAAATATTCTCAAGCACGACGTTAAACCCAATTCCACCACCACCACTATCATATCAACATTGATTGACTCCGATATATCTCCCATTTTGTTCAATCGTAAATTTAAAATGAAGTTCCCCTACTTTTTTTAAAGTGTATATCTACATCGACGCATGCAACAGACGATTATTGGGCCCCAGTAGTGTCTCCATTGCCGAGGCCGTCGCCAAGTTCGTCGCCTGTGTCGTCGGCGATGTCCTCCCCCGCCCATCACAAGCGCCTGGGCCACAGGTTCATCACTGAGAGGTGGCCAGCGTTTTATCAACACCCACGCAATGATGGCTCCAACTCCTGCAAAAATCAGGGACACGCCAGCAAAATACAAGGCTCCATTTACTGACGACGTTTCTTGTATGATTTTAGCTAAAATGGCAAGAAGAAACAATGCATGATGGACATGACAGTGATCTGAAATTATACGGTATTACCTCATTAAAAGCATGAAAGGGTTATTGAAAATCAAGATGTGTGCGTTGACTGTTTAACGCGGTATTATTACAGAATATATACTCTGAGTAGGGGAACCTGAACTTTCAATTTGGATAGGAAGTATAAGCGTTAACAAACCTTTCAAAGACAGACATCTTATGAACGCACAACCATATCTCTTTGCCACCACCTCTAAACACAACGCATGTGATGCACGAGCACAACGCGGTAGCCCCATACACGTACATTGGGTGTCATTCTTGATTTTGACGGTAGACCATTAATTTTGGCAATCATCTTGCATTACATAGTTCTGTTGTTAGTGTTTGTTTCTAGCCGTTTTTTGTTTTTGTTGTTGTTTGTTTGGGAGGGGTGGGGGGTTGGAGGGTTAAATGAAAATCATACACATGCAACATTGATTTGCATTGATATATATCCCAATTTTTTCAATCGTAAATAAAAAATGAAGTTCCCCTACTTTTTTGAAGAGTATATATCACGGGTTGTACATAATAGTCTGGAGCTGACACAGGAGTGATTGAAGTGAGGCGCAAACTTCAGAGTTAAACACTTTGGTAGATAATAGCCCGTTACTACACGTATATGTTGTCGGGAGGCTAATTCTAACCCGGATCACCCAGGGGCCTGAACACGCATCACAGAATGAATTCAAAAGTCGGTTTTCAGTTGGTCATAATATTTTGTCACCAGAACGAAATATACTCATGCCAATAATAGTTGTCACCCCCTACCCACCCCCACCCCCACACACCTCACACCCCACCCCACACCCCCACTCAAATTAAAAAATTTGAAGGGGATGACAACCATTATTGGCATGAGTATTCCTTACAGTTTGTTTGTGTGTTTGTTGTTTAACTCCATACTCAGCAAATAATCGATTCTGGACCAGACAATCCCGTGATCAACAGCACGAGCATCGATCTACGCAATTACGACACGATGACATGTCTCAACCAAGTCAGCAAGCATGACCACCCGTACCAGTTAGTTGCCTCTTACGACAAGCATGGGTTGCTGAAGACCAATTCTTACCCGGATATTCACGGGTAAAATACCTTACAACACCAATACCTGTACTCCATTTCCTTTACAAAGGCATAACGTTATCGAACATCAGATCCAGCAGTACAACATACCCATGCTAGAACCGCCTAGAAGTCCTCCCACCTCTTCAAAGCAGCCCAGTATTGGTAAGGAAAGCTTCAAATTGCTTCTGGCATCATTACTTGAGCGAACGCTGTAATTTCAATACAAATCATAAGTCTGTAAGGTGCCACCATCCCAGCGATTGCATTCCGACAACATGCATGACTATATAACATGTATATATATATCACTCAAAGTTTACAAAAGAACGACTTTTAATATTGTCTATATGGCATCCAACCGAAAAGGATTGAAATAACAAGTATAGATTGATCAAATGACCAAACTCCTTTAGGACCACAATTTCAGGATTATTGGGTTGATTTGTTGTTTTTTTGTTTAATGCCGCACTCAGCAATATTTCAGCTATACGAAGGCGGTCTGTATTAATCGAGGCTGGACCAAACAATCCAATGATTGACACAATCGGCATCGATCAACACAACTTAGTCCTAGGCCAAATGCTGGAAATATGCCTTCATTTTAAAATCTCTCAGCAGCTGTTATACAGCAATTAGTATGATACTCCCACCCTCCAAGAAGTCATGTTGATGTGGAACTAGCCACAGAATGCATCAGGTTACTAAACACAAACAAGATTCACCCCACTGTTGAAACAGTGTCCACTATTTCATAGACCAACTGCATGAGTATGAACCACATGATCTAATGGACGGTGACAAGCACTGGTATTCTACATGGTCAAGATATGCAGTGTGGGTTCATAAGCAAAGGAAGATAAGGAAGCTGCGCATTCATGCATTCATAAATGTTCCTTATGATGCGATGTTGTCTTCCATACAATCTCTCCTTCATGTGTATCACTTCTTAATGCCATTCAATAACTCGACCAAAAGCCGGAAAATAAATTTTAACACATTGGGGTTTTACTCATTATGGTTTGGGATATAACTTTTGCGTTGATATTTTGAAGAAAGGGCAGAGAAAAAATGTAATGAAATTCATGGCCAACAGATTTTACACATTGTTTCTTCGGTTAAACGTTTGTGTCACCTACTCACTTCAATCGGTAAATTGTCGTAAGAGGCGACTAACGGGATCGGGTGGTCAGGCTCGCTGACTTGGTCGACACATGTCATCGGTTCCCATTTGCGCAGATCGATGCTCATGTGGTTGATCACTGGATTGTTTGGTCCAGACTCGATTATTTACAGACCGCCGCAATATAGATGGAATATTTCTGAGTGCGGCGTAAAACTAAACTCACCCACTCAATCAATCGGTAAACGATGGCAGGAAGTTCTAATCAAGAGGAATTTAAGAGCCAAGGAGAAAGGGACATATGTAAAAAACATTCAAAGACACAATTCGAAATCTCTGCGTGCCTGTTTTAGTTGCTGTAACATTTAACCTTAGGAAGACACCAAGCATTTGGCGTTAAGCCCTTGATTGACATAGAGCCTGTGACCCGTGACCCGTGACCCTTGATCTATGACCCGTGATCCGTGACGAGCGACGACTCCATCCTCCAGGTTGATTACAACCTGGTTCGTCTAATGTTTAGGCCCCGACTATACCTGGATTGAGGGGTGGTGGGGTAGCCTAATGGTTAAAGCGTTGGCTCGTCACGCCGAAGGCCCGGGTTCGAATCCCCACATGGGTACAATGTGTGAAGCCCATTTCTGGTGTCCCCCGCCGTGTTGTTGCTGGAATATTGCTAAAAGCGGCGTAAAACCAAACTCAGTCAGTCAGTCAGTTTCTGGAGTGTCTAACCACGCATGAGTGATTTCTCCATGGGTCAGTGTGAGCCTAATTGCTACTGTTTACCTGTTTTAAAAATTAGACGAAACAGGTTGATACACCCAGGTTACCTCACCGCCCCCAATGAAATAATACTGATCATGACTAAGTTTGTGTTTTACTCAACAATGAAGCTGATTCGCAGTAATGTAGCTAAATACTTCCCAATACGTTCTATTATTCACTTTATGAACAGAATGCTTTTGATTTGGAGGAATGTTATTTTATGCCATTGTAAGCAATATTTCAGCTAAATATGGGTGATCAGTACATCATCGAGTCAAGCAAACTTTAGACAGAATTGGCACAATCACTGCAAAAAGATGTATTCTCCAATGTTTATGATTTCAGAAATCCAAGTCATCAGTTCTGTTTTTAACGGTCGCCGTTTCAGTTACCTTTATTGTTATCGCCGTCAACCACGTGGAGACTTACTCACGGCCTCCTGGAAAGAGGGTCCCAAACACACTTGGCCACAGATTGACCACTTCCGGAGAAGACGTTCGATCTGAGAATGGCGTAAAAATATCTAAAGGTTGACCTTGACCCCAATGTGAGATGGGAGACAATCCAAGATGAACACTCACCATATGTCAGACACTAAGTATCTTATATGTAGATGTGCTAAATCTAATGTCTGTGGTGGATGGTCCGACAAACTAAATGTTGATGCCCTCAAGGCCAACAGAGTTCATCGGAAAGAAATCTCATGGATGGAAAATAAGACAAGGGACCAAGACTTTGCCACAGCATACAAGACTGTATTCTCTTTATCCGCATCTTTGAAAGAAACCCTATCCCGGTTTCCAGCAAGAGCTAAACCAAAGGAATCATCGAAGCTCGTTTGTACACAGATTCGACTTTTTAGAAATCCTTCAAATCCAAATGACAATAAAATCCCTAGGGGAGCTACGATGGCAGATGTTCAAAAGATTTGGCAATTCTTTCGAAATTTTAGTGATCTTTCAACATACAAAATATTTGTCACTTCCGACTCCGAAACTGTCATGCAACAAGCCCGGACGTTATTTCCAAGCCAAATTATGGAAAGCGAAGGAAAAGTGTCCCATATTGAACGGGACACTGATAGAAAATCTCGTTGCGATGGGTGGAAGAAGGTCATCCTGGACCAGCATGTGGTGATGTCGTGTGACGTTCTGGTGTTGATCCCGTTGATATGCTGGTTCGATTCCCCCACATGGGCACAATGTGTGAAGCCCATTTCTGGTGTTCCCCGCCATGATATTGCTGGAATATTGCTAAAAGCGGCGTATAACGCAACTCACTCACTCATTTATAAAATATTTATATCAGTCAATGACAAAAAATATTTGGTTAGGCTATATGTGTTCAGTGGGTGAGTGAATGAATTTGTAATTACACCGCTTTTAGCACTATTCCAGCAATATTAGAACTTGACTTCACACATTGTGCCAATGTGAGGAATCGAATCCCGGGCTTTTGGCGTGACGAGTGGAATGATATATGTAAAATGAGCGTTTGCCATGAGGTACGGTAAATCGTAACAACGTAGACTGACGTTTTCATCAGTAACATGAGATAGAGTGAAAAACTCCTCAAACCTGTATTTAATGGTCTCTCGTAGTGCGCACTCGTGAAGATCCGGGTTAGAATTGATCTTCAGTAACACATGCTTGTCGCAAGAGGCGACTAATGGGATCGGGTCGTCTGCCTCGCCGACTTGGTTGACTCATGTCATCATATCCCAATTGCGTAAATCGATGCTCATGTTGTTGATCACTGGATTCTCTGGTCCAGACTCGATTATTTACAGACCGTCGCCATATAGCTGGAATATGGGTAAGTGCGGCGTAAAACTAAACTCACTGATTCACTCACTCTCTCGTTGTATGAGAAAAACGTGCAAGACAACAGATCAATCGCTGTCAGTAGCCACATAGCATAGGGAGACTTTAAGGGATCAACTTTGTAGCTGACAGTGATGTCGATGATGTGTCCAGTGATGCATCCGATGCAGCTGATGAAGACAACAATAGCAAGTCTTGGAGGTGCATGATGGCTACAAATGCAGCTGTACCCAAAAAGCCTAATGTAACCTTTTTCCATGCATATAATTTGAGAGGTGCAGCATAAGAATTGGCTGTTCTTGTTAGTGCTTTAAAGTGTTTTTTCACTTTGTACAGTTGATGGGAACTTGTGCAAATAATTAGGTTTCGTGGCGGTGTTATTCTTTGTGGAACATGTGCATCTGTATTATATTGATTCGTTTACCATTGAATAGACGACATTCCGGTGAATACAGTAAGTTCGACTGGAAAACAAGATTGGTTTGGAAATGTTTAGGCATATATTCTTACCCAGGGATTAGACAAAGTTCTGGAAGCTGTTATCATAAGATCTGTGATCTTCTTATCGGTGTGAGATCACTTTTCACCTTGGATTCTCAGCCAACGCTATTTTCATCAGTCTTTATTACTTTAATCACTGCTTTTATATTGCACTGCTATTGTCAGTGTATAGCCATTTTATTTCACGCTGTGGTTATATACCTTTGTATTGATTGGGAAACTTTGGTACCTTTGAAATACAATTGTTATTTTTTCCCTTTGTTTGTGGTTGGTTACACACCATGTTTGTGAACAGGGTGGTTTACAGTTAACTTATTGGTCCAACTTTTGAATCTTCATGTAACACCAGAAGCATGCAAACATTGAAATCACTTACAAAAACGAATAGAATTGTACATAGTATTATTACTTCTCAACTAAAGAAAAGGGGCGGTGGGGTAGCCTAGTTGTTAAAGCGTTTGCTCGTCACGCCGAAGACCTGGGTTCGATTCCCCTACATGGGTACAATGTGTGAAGCCCATTTCTGGAATCCCCCGTCGTGATATTTCTGGAACATTGCTAAAAGCGGTGTAAACCACACTCACTCACTCACTAAAGAAGGGTCACAACGTGTATCTGGGGAATATGTCAAATCGAGGAATATGTATAACGTATGTCTGACTCAAACCTCAGGGGATATGCTGTGTCAATGTTAATGAGGTGATTACTTAGAAGAGATTTGACAGATGATGACATATATGAGTCAATGTCTGGGAAACATTATATTAGTTAAACCATTTGTGTGATGTGTATTTTATTTCTTTTACATGTGAAAAGTGTTGGAGTCAACTGGGTAACACCAGAAATGGGCTTCACACACTGTATCCATGTGGGGAATCGAGCCTGGGTATTTGGCATGAGGAGCGATGATATTTAATTTAATATTAAATGGACAGTCGCTCCTATACAAACATTGTTGTTATTACAGCGTTAATTAACTGTTCAATCAACCAGGCAACAAACATGTGCATATGTTTTACAAACTTTATTGACATTGCTATATTGATACTGGAGACAATAACAACGAATGAAGTACTTCAAAGATTGTATCTGAAAATGTGTTGTTAAATGAATAATTATATAAATTGTATGCTATCTGTCGAGGGTAATATGGTCTGATGGTACGCCTCTTTGTAGCAGTGTTACCCGAGCCGGTAGGCGGGTTAATTTCACAATACGAGGCTGTAAAGTGATTCAATGTAACCATCCACAGGATAATTTCAGCATACGTGGCTGTGAATTGATTCAGTGTAATAATCCGCAGGGTTAATTTCTTCTAAACGCCGCAAGCAGCAATATTCCAGCTAGGACATTAATGGAATCTTATCCCAACCTTTATGGCTGAATAACAATTTCAAAAAACTCAAATCACATCATTAGTCACTGGGCTAAAAGTGGAATCTTGACAATCAAAGATCTTTGTGATGAACATGGGTTTATATCCTTTGATTATTTGAAGCTTAAATTTGATATAAGAGGTACTCACTTAGATCTTTGATATGTTATACATATTTTACCTGAACCTTGGAAAAAAACTATAAAGGAATATAGATACATAAACATTAATGACCTCGCTATAAATTATCTCCAAAAGGATTTCATATCCCGAAGAAAAGGTTCAAGATTATTCTATGATAAATTGTTATCTGAAAATGTTAAACCTCACATGTGCCAAAAATGGGAAACATTATATGATTGTATTGATTTCGATTGGCATTTGATTTTTGATATTTGTAGAAAGAATGTAAGAGATGTGAAACTTAGTTTTTCAATATAAAATTCTGCACGGAATTGTTTATACCAAAAAAGAACTTTATAAAATGAATCTGGTGGACAATATGTTCTTTTTTGTATTGATTCTGCTGAGACCTTATGCCAGGTATTTGGGGAATGAGATGAAACCAAAACTTTCTGGAAGAAACTTGAACAGTGGATTACGAAACGTATCCAAACACTTAATTTGACAAAACTTTGATCTGGTTTGGCTTTTTAGGTAAGAACCCATTACTGAATCACATAATCTTACCTTCTAAGAGGTATATTTACACTTGCTCTTTGAAAAAAATAATTCCAAAAGTTGATAATTACTTAAGGATATTGAAAGACATATTTACCACTCAAGCACTCATGTCCAGAAGAAATAATAATGTTGAAAGCTTTTTAGCCAAATCTCATTCCTCTCATCCCTGAATTTAACCCTGAATGACTATTTAACCAAAACATATTACTGATATTGATATTTAATGTACTTAATGTACTAGATCTCTATTGAGCCCACTAGTTGCTGTGTACACATATTCCTCTATATGCTTGTACTCATCATATTTTTGTACTCATCCCATTGACATCAATCCCAAAAATAACAAATATAACATATGTTTCATCACATTGGGAACAGTAAAATGTGTTTTTTTTAAAAAGCAATATTCCAGCTATGTGGCGGTGGTTGGTATATAATCGAGTCTGGACCAGACAATCCAGTGATTGGCATCTTTAGAATCGATCTACCCAATTGGGATACGACATGGGTCAACCAAGTCAGCTAGCCTGACAAACCGATCCCGTTAATCGCCTCTTACGACAAGCATGGGTTGCTGAAGACCAATTCTAACCCGGATGTTCACGGGCCCTAGTGGCAAATACCGGGTATTATTGTCTTTGTATTTGCTATATATGTTTATATAATACTGTGTTTTGGTAACCGTGCTACTGTATTAACCTTTGATAACCATTGATATACCTGCTATCACTACTTGACATTAAGTGATATTGATTGCAATGTGACTGTTTTCCTCTTTGTACTTGTACAGTACTATGAATGTATCAGGTACTGGCTCAGCTGTATTAACCTTTCATAGACATTGATATATCACTATCTGACATCTGTCATATTTATTGAATTGTGAATGTTTTCTCTCTGTATTGGAAAAGCACTAGGTACAGGTACAAACACTATCAGTTTTCTGTCTGTATTAAAGGGGCAGTGGGGTGTTTAACAACAAACAATCCATACCATACCAACAGAAACATCTACCCAGTTCGTTGTAACTCCATATGAACTCAAACACCTCGTGGCATGACAGGTTCCCACTAGAATGTTTCAAAAGGACTTCAAAACTAGGACTTTCATACAGGTTAGTGAGTGAGTGAGTTGGGCTTTACAAACCTAAAGTACTCTTTCCTATTGCCACTACTACTACTATTATCAACAATAACAATGCAACTTTGTAAATGAACATGTTCTTTATTAAAGCAAACAGCTACTCTGCCCATGAATATAACCACCTTTTCTTACACACTCGTGGGTGAGAAACTCATGCAGCAGTGCATTTACCTGGTCCTTTTATAGTGTTTTTCCAATACAGAGAGAGAAACATTCACAAGCGAGCCTCTAATCTGTATAGAGAATAAGCAACGTTAACGTTATGGTAACTACAATTGTAAACCAAAAGTCACTGTGATCTTTAATCTGATTGGTTGAAAAACATGATCGAATGGTATTCGATTCCCGGAAATTCGCTGCGTATTACTACGTACAATCATCGCTCACACCATTGTATTGTTACGTCGTCAGCTGTGATGACGTCATTCAAATCATATTGTGACGTAAAGTCTGAATGACGTCACAAATGAGCAGTTCCAGATGCTACCATGGGAGACAGCCGAAACGGCGGCTGATGACATTTCACTGCTGTACCCGTACTCTATGTCAATGAGTGCAGACACAAAAACATGTGTGGACCTTTTGATTTACTTTTGTGTTTACAATGTCGATAAACATCATGTGTTGGACAATTTCCGTCGGTTCCAAATGAATTCCCGTGCTCCAAATACTCAATAACACCCGGAAATTGGCAAACACATGATGTTCATCTCCTAACTCAATATATCTTTTATAATTAATTTACAAAACCATTACACTTCACCAGGCGACTGAAGAAAACAAATGAGAAGAAGATTATGGCTGCGAACGCATTGCTGAAATTAATCCTGTAGATGATTACACTGAATCAGTTCACAGCCACGTATTGCTGAAATTAACCCTTCGGATAATTACACAGAATCACTTCACAGCCTGCCTCGTATTGCTGAAATCAACCCTGCAGATGATTACATTGAATCAATACACAGCCACGTATTGCTAAAATTAACCCTGTGAATGATTACATTTACTAAATATTTGGCTTGCCACAATCGTCTAGTCTTTGCTTAAATAGCAATAAAAATATGGCATGTTTGTCTTGCCCAAAGAGTCATTACTCCTTGCAAGAAACTTGCTCGAGCAGTTTCAAACTACGGTAGATTACCAGAGAAGGTTGCCATGCAGGTAACTATATGTAACACCTGGTAGTTATTGACTAAACAGATCACCATACACACTGTTATCAGCATACAAAATGGCGCAACCTCGACCGCCGTGTGGATACAATCGACCTTGAGTCGTATAAAACGTGTACAGGAAGGCTGATGTATTGATAATTACAATGGCAGTTTTCAAGGTAAGCATATTAAATCACAAAATATTCAGATTAAGACATGAATGGATGTTGTTCCACGTCGCTGACAGTGTTTGGCCAGTGTAATACGGGTTTCGTTGGATGTGTTGTCAATGTCCCTATCACCACCACAGCGTCCGTAAAGATGCAGTCACATGGGTTATTGCATTCGCTCAGCTTAACGCCCGTCAGTATTCAAACCATACTAGTTCAGGGCAAACCCATCATTTATTTAAGAAATACGGTTCGCTCTACCCCATGTATAGTGTAATATACTACAAATAAACAGTATGGGAACACCCTAAAATTTGATAGTCGTATATAAACTTAAACGTGGTTAGGTCACTTATACTCTAAGGTAAATGCAACTATTTGTGTCCCTTAGACACGCGGTAGACTGTCGTCAGACTCTCCATTGTTCTCGGTGAATTGGTTTGGTACCTCTTGATCTCTTGGCGCAGATCAGATGAGTGCCCGGACTCTCTACTGGGACCACAACCCTTCTGACACTCTGGGTAATGCAGAAGGCTGTTGTGTTGGGGAGTCTACGTATTCTCCGGAAAGCCCTTGGCGGGTTCGACAAGTCACATTCGCTGTCTGGGCTGCGTGTAGAGGGGGCAAGGGCCCTGAGCTGATAATGAGCCTTACCAGCCTGACTGTGACAGATTCACTTGAACCCGAACCCTCTCTGCTGTATACTATCATTAATCTGTAAAACATAATGATAATAAATGGATATTTCTTGTTCTCCATAGTCCATCCAGAGCATGCTCAAAGGGTTACATATAAAAGAGTCACTAGAGTAAAAATATGACAGTTCGTCCATAATAATGAGTGCATTTATAGTGCGCTAAACTACATTCACTAGATAAATGCTCATAGCGCTAACAATCCGAATATTATTACCCCGGATTACCCAAGCTGCCTGTTAGGCGCTAGAGGGTTAATAGTCTCATGATTTATCCCACCGGACATCCATTTTCTTCTGTGTAAGCAGAGGCAATTTCGAACAAACTCACTTGCCTAATTAAGGTGAGACCACATGTATCACATGTGCTTCGTTGTTAGGCAGGACTGTTCAAGTCCTAGAAACTGTCAGGAGTCAAGCTCCAAAACACAGTTGCAAACGTTGCTTAACTTCAACTGATTTGTGACCTAAGCTCGATGCACAGGATCACATACCACCAGGATGTCATCCATGTAAAGGAGATGAGTAAGTTGTGTTGGGAATCTGTACTGAG